CACATAAAAATAAATAAATAAAATAAAGGTATTGCGTCCATCTTCAACTAAAAATATTTTTTAAAAAAAGGATGTCATGTACAGAAAAGGACTCCAGTCTTAATGAGAGGACACTCCTGACTCTTAGGTATATACATTATTGCATCTGTTGATTTACACAGCACAGGAAGCTAACCAATACTTAATTTCTGAAAATGTGTCACAGGCTATATGAAATAAGAACAGACTAGGTCTACAGACAAGAGGTTGCTATCTGACTGAAATATCACACTCCTGGGTGGCATATGAAACATAACTCCATGGATTAAAAATTGATGAATGTAATTCAGTAACAAAGAGATATCTAGTGAATAAACCAAGGTAGTCACCTCAAGAAGAGTTATGACGGTGCTGGAGGACACTCAACTCCTAAGAAGCCAGGCTGTCCCTGAGTTCTTTGGAAGTCAGTAGCGCTCTCTGGCCCTCATTTTCCTCATTTACACTCATCCACACAAAAACAGCTGCTGTGGTCATCTCCAGGGCCTCTAAAGCCCATTATTCTGGTAGGTTAACAGACCCACAAGTGTTTGTCATCAAAGGCAAGGACTTCAATAACCACTATAAGGTGTAGACTTACTATTATTTTGCGTGAAGGAGAAACACAAATACACTCATACACGCGCGCGCTCTCAAAAAATTAAATTCAAAAAACAAATGTAATTAAGTTCAGATACCCTCTAAAAGTTGACAAATCATGCATATCCAAATACAAAGATAATCAAAATTTTAGAACAACCAATTTTTTTTGTTTTTAAAGAAGAGAGAAAGTTAAAAAAAAAATGAACATAACTAGGCAGGCAATGATTTGCACTGCTCACTTCCCCTTCCGCTGGCTTCCTTCCCCTTCTTAGGTCAAAACACTCCTACTATGTAAATCATCCCACAGCCAACTCCAGAGTCCTCTCTGCTACGACTTGCAGGGAACTTCATGCAAAAGAAACAATTTCTAGACTTCCATGTGACCAAAAGAGATGTGAAGCATCGGGGACCACAAAACAAAGCAAACCCCAGCAGGCAAAATGTGTATGGCACAGCAGAAATGAATGAACGGAGGATCCCATTTTTAACCACTGAGAAATGTCTGAATAGAGCTGGGCTTGGTGGCACACAAGCTGGTATCCCAGCTACTCAGCTGGTCAATTCAAGGCCAGCCTGGACAATTTATCGAGACCCTGTCTTTTTTTTTTTTCTTTAATATATTTACCTTTTGTTGTAGTTGGRCACAATATCTTTATTTTATCTCTTTATTTTTATGTGGTGCTGAGGATCGAACCCAAGGCCTCGCACATGCTACRCAAGTGCTCTACCGCTGAGCCACAACCCCAGCCCCGATCCTGTCTTAAAATAAAAAATATAAAGGATATAGATCAGTGGTAAAGCAAGCAACCCAGGGTTCAATCCCCAGTATTGGGGGGGGGGGACAATTTAAAAAGTAAAAAGTGGATATCCTATGATTTTAGGAATTTTGTAGTAAAGTGACACTGTTTGGGATACTTGCTAAGTACCCAGGTACTTTTTTAAGCACTTGGGATTTTTATGGATTAGAATCCTCACAATACTATCAGATGCATATTACATCTATTTTAATTGTATAGAAACTAGGAACAAATGCTCAGTGTAGTTAAGTAACTACACAAAGTTGCACAGCTTAGAAAGTAGTTAGACTTGGAATCCGGTTCTGCTCAACTTCAAATCTCCTCCTCTTTCCATAAATGATGCAGACTTTAAACATCAAAGTAAACAGTTAATTGAAAAAAAAAATTCCCCTTTTGATAGGACTCTCTTAACACAATGCCATCATTTCAAGAGGAGTTTATGCTAAGTGTGACTTCATAAACAAATCACTTGTGAGAGAAAAAAAACCACATCCAGGATCAAGCTGCAAGCTGCAAAGCCTGTTTCAGAAAGCACTTCCTGAAAGAGACAGAGCAACGATTACAGCTCAGCAGTGCCAACTCCTCCAGCAAGCCGGAGCTACATTCAAAACAGCCTTTAACGCAACAAGTGAGTCTAACACAAAAGAAATACGACGTGTCTGAAATGCACCATTTCCAGACAGGGCTATTTTAACTCACAGACACCTCTTTTTCAGAAGGGGGTACACCGGAAAATGGTCACTTCTAAGACAACGCTTTGATGGAAGAAGGTAAGCAGCATTCCTTTAACTTCATCACAGATCACTATCATAAGTACTGCTTTACTAAGCTCAAAATCACTAACAAAACATTACAGAAACTACGTTGGTGAAGGAAAGGACCTCGAATTCGTTSTGATCTTTCCATATTATTAGTATGACTGGGCACTAATTTTCAATATTACTTTACATTAATGGTAATTTTTCAAATTAAGGAAAACCCTGGCATGATAAGTCATAAATATATTAAAGTGTCTTTGTCACATTGTTTCAATTATATTGATTTATAAGATTATTTATCTTTTTGTTTTGGTACTGGGACTTGAACCCAAGGGCACTCCATTATTGAGCTACATCTGCATTCTTTTTATTTTTATTTTCAGACAGGGTCTAAGTTGCCAAGGCAGTCTTTGAACTTGTGATCCTCTTGCCTCAGCTTCCCAAGTCACTGCCATGAAACCTGCCACCACACCTGGCATGAAATTATTTGTTTAATTAAGAAAAGAAAAACTATAGGTGATCATGAAATATAAAGCTTTCAAAAAGTTGACTTGAAAGCCAATTACTTTTCACAATTTTTCCAAAATTTTCTGTTTGCAGAGCATAGCCTTTAAGACACTTGAGTCACTCATACTTTATCCAAACTGGAGTGAATGAATGAAGACAAATGCAGATGGCAAATGAACTGCATAAAAGCCTCCTGAGCCCAAGGTGGGAAAGGCTCCCTGAGCTGGTTGGTAAATAAGGCATTTATGGAACAAAATTAGGGATGAAGATAGGTAGAGAAGAAAAAAAAAAAAAGGATGCAAAATTTCATTTACATTACATTTATTACTATTTAAAAATTCTTTGAGGACTGGGGTTGTGGCTCAGTGGTAGAGTGCTCACCTAGCACAAGTAAGGCACTGGCTTCTGTCCTCAGAACCACATAAAAATAAAATAAAGATATTATGTCTATCCACAACTAAAAAACATGTAAAAAATGCCTTTATGTTTAATAAAGTTAGTAAAATTTAAGATTTAAGTTCCCAAGTTCTTCTGGAGATCTAATTTTCCTATGCAGTACTTTTCTCATCTGATAGAAATTAATATTATAATTTAACTGATATTTGGAAATTTTATTACAGGGTTTTAAATTTATAAAATTTTATTCCAAAATCATATTCAATCCACATATTTGAGAAACTAATTTAGGAAGTTGCAAATGAAGGAGGAAGAGGAAGGGAAAGAGAAAGAGAGGGAAGGAGGGAAGAAAGCAAATTTGCATCTTGTATCTTGTGCACAGCAACCTCAAAAGCTGTTCTCAGCAGCCCATGATACCACTGACCACAGGCTGCTAATCTCCCCCATAATTCTCACTAAAGAGGGAGTCAGGGCTGAATTAGAGACAAGCCACTCTACAAAGTGACATTTTTGAAGGAAACTTCATACACCTCCATATTTCAAAAAGATGCCTCAAAGTTCCATCTCTTTGTAGTGAGACTATTTTTAAAATCTCTTAGTGGCTGTATCATGGTGAGGAGTTTTACTCTGAGGTTCAATGATATTTGCAATCACAACTAAACTCTTTCCATTTGAAATGAACACTTTTTGGTGATTGGAATTTATTACTTTTGACATACGCATCAAGTTACTGATGACTTCTTATCAGTATCCACTTCTCTTAGCTGCTCCTTTTTAAAATTTAATTTGACAAACAGTATTCATGCTTCTATACTTAGGCAGAGGAGGGGTATGAGAGCTGTTCTCCTGACAGGAACATATTTTCAAGACATTCTTCTCTATGCACCACTGAGGCCCCTGAAATCAGCTTTTAGACCTGAGACACACAGTCTGGTAGCTTCACTCTGAGGCACTCCAATGGCCTGGACACAGTCCATCTGTTGCTCTAGGAGCCCAGTTATTTTTCTCTTTTGTTTAATATTTATTTTGTAGTTATTTAGGTGGACACAATATCTTTATTTTTAATGTGGTGCTAAGGACCGAACCCGTGCCTCACACATGCTAGGTGAGTACTCTACCTCTAAGCCACAACCCCAGCCTGAGCTCAGTTCTTGATCTGTAGATCATGACACAAAACCACTGTTTCTAGACTGATGATAAATTTAAGAGAATATGAGATAATACTATGAAGAAGTCTTTACCACTTAAGAATAAATAAAAGGTCAGACAGCAACTGCGCAAGTCTTCACTGACAAACTAGAGAACAGCTGCTATGAGTGACCTTACCAAACATTCTTTCCTTCAYTCTCCTTCATTGAGCAAGTATTTATTTACTGAAAACCTACTATGAGCTCAATCGGAAATAGGGAAATAGAAGATAAAATAAAGTTTCTGCTCTCTCTTACGTGAGAATTATTGTAATTTTCAATAATCAGTTTTCCAATATACAGTTTTTTTATTTTTTTAGTTATTGATAGATCTTTATTTTATTAATTTATATGTGGTGCTGAGAATAGATCCCAGTGCCTCACACATGCCAGGCAAGTGCGCTACCACTGAGCCACAGTCCCAGCCCCCAACATACATTTTTATATTAAAATTATATTTAATGAATGGCTGGGCATGGTGGTACATGCCTGAAATCATAGGTACTCAGTAAGCTGAGTCAGGAAAGTCACAAGTTTGAGATCAGTCTGGGAAACTTAGCAGATCCTGTCTCAAAATTTTTAAAAAATGGCTGGAGATGTAGCTCAGTAGTAGAGTGTTTCAGGTTTAATCCCCAGTACACACCCCCCCGCAAAAAAAAAATTGTGTTTGAGTAAAAGTGTACTATTTTGACATTAATAACTTGATTATAAAATATTTAAACAGAACGGTGGTGAGAAAAAGTGGGAAACATTTTATAAGATTCAAAATACAGATTGGCCTTTCCCCAATAAATCTAAATCAAGAATGCTTATTAGAGAGGAATAATAACAGTTACCTGATTTCATACTATAGGGAGAAAAAATCATAAAGGAAAGCTTGCTTTTTGAGGCAGAAGACAGGTAAGCAGGGATAGTGGAATAAATGGATCCCCAACTGCATTGAGACCCTCTGAGCCATGTTCATGGGTTAGTATATAATAAGGGCTTGGGTAAGGCTTGGGGTTAGAGCATTTACCCGAATTTAATCCCCAGCCCTGAAAAAAATGAGTTCACCACAGCTGTAATCTCTAGGGAATGCATTCCTTAATAAATGCTGAGACTCACATATTAAATTTACAAAATAAAATACTCTCAAAACGAGACAGCCAAGCTGAGTGTGAGAATGTTAGCATCTATTTTCCAACCAAAGGATTTATTCCTAATTTTTTCAACTATTTTTACAGCCTCTAAGTATCATGCCTACCAACAAGCTATAAGATGACTACCCCAAGCAATCAAGACCAACCCATCCCTTCTAATAGCTCACACCCAGACGAATACAAAATCGCGGCTCTTGTCTTCTACAGCTGTATATTCCTGGTTGGATTATTTGTTAATGTTACTGCCTTATGGGTTTTCAGTTGTACCACCAAGAAGAGAACTACTGTAACCATCTAYATGATGAATGTGGCACTACTGGACTTAATATTTATAATGAGTCTACCCTTCCGAATGTTCTACTATGCAAAAGGTGAATGGCCATTTGGAGAGTACTTCTGCCACATTCTCGGGGTTCTTGTAGTGTTTTACCCAAGCGCTGCTCTCTGGCTTCTTGCTTTTATCAGTGCCGACAGATACATGGCCATCGTACAGCCGAAATATGCCAAAGAACTTAAAAAAACATGCAAGGCCTTGCTTGCCTGTGTAGGAGTGTGGATAATGACCCTGACAACCACTGTCCCTCTGCTGCTCCTCTACGAAGACCCAGATAAAGCCTCCTCCCCTGCCACCTGCCTAAAGATCTCTGACATCATTCACTTCAAAGCTGTCAATGTGCTGAACTTCACTCGACTGATATTCTTCTTCCTGATCCCTGTGTTCATCATGATTGGGTGCTACTTGGTCATCATTCACAGTCTCCTCCATGGCAAGACATCTAAGCTGAAACCCAAGGTCAAGGAGAAGTCCATAAGAATCATCATCACGCTCCTGGTGCAGGTGCTCATCTGCTTCCTGCCCTTCCACATCTGCTTTGCCTTCCTGATGCTGGGTGGGGAAGAGAACAGCTACAGCCCATGGGGAGCCTTCACCACCTTCCTCATGAACCTCAGCACGTGTCTGGATATGATCCTCTACTACATTGTTTCCAAACAATTTCAGGCTCGGGTCATTAGCGTCATGCTGTACCGCAATTACCTCCGGAGTGTGCGTAGAAAAAGCTTCCGATCTGGGAGTTTACGGTCACTTAGCAATGTGAATAGTGAAATGTTATAAATGACGTGAATTTTCTTCAATCTCTTTAAAATTCATTTTTCTTTAAAATTCATTTTCCTAACTACTCTAGGACCAATGGATATTCTACATAATATTATCAAGCCCCCTCTCTGCTAAAAGAAAAGAAAAAAACTTTAAGAACTCTTTTGTGCAATCTTATTATGGCAATACAATTACACATTCTAATTTTTTATTTTCAAACTTGTATAAAACATTTTTGTGAATTATTGGGGAAAAAACACCCACACTGGCATTTCACAGTCAAGCCTTATCTACACAGATAATAAATATTTTTTAATTATTTKGAATTTAATTCTGTGAATCATGAGGAAAAAAATTCAACCACTGATCAAAGCAATTGGGTACACTATTTTCAATCCAGATGCACCTCTCGTGTCTAATCTCAGGACCCTGAGGTATAAATTAAATATTTCTACACAAACAACTATGTGCAACACATCATCACTTGCTGCAGAGCAAACTTATGGTGGCAAGCAGCAGATGCGCCTGGGAAGGTCACCCCTATCAGCCACGCTCCTACTCTGAATTTGGTTTCTTTTAGAGATAAGACTAGTCAAAAACTTTCTAAACTAGATAAAAACTTTCTGAGAGCATACATGCACCCAATCCCACATAAAACTAATGATGAAAACTTAACCTGAGATCCCTTTCTGCCCAATAACAAGGACACGAGGTGTTTCTGTGTGAAAGCCATTCTCTGATGACAAAAAAAATCAACAAAGTGAAAACGTTAAGCCATGGTTGTCACAATAAACTTATAGGTAATCTAAAATAGTTAATGAAAATTTATTTAGCATGGTAAGTACTTTTTTTTTTTTTTTTTTTTGGTACTGGGGATTGGATCCAGCGGCCCTTAACTACTGAGCCACATCCTCAGCCCAGCCCTTTTTATTTTTTTATTTTGAGACAGGTTTTTGCTAAGTTGCTTAGGGCCTCGCTAAATTGCTGAGGCTGGCTTTGAACTTGTGATACTTCTGCCTCAGCTTCCTGAGCGACTAGATTATAGGCTAGGACCATGTATACAGTGTAATTACACACATTTAAACACAGTATGTAGGGGCTGGGGATGTGGCTCAAGTGGTAGCGCGCTCGCCTGGCATGCGTGCGGCCCGGGTTCGATCCTCAGCACCACATACAAACAACGATGTTGTGTCTGCCGAGAAATGGAAAATAAATATAAAAAAATTAAAAAAAAAAAAAACACAGTATGTARAAATTCAAAATTCCACTATTCTAGAGGGGTTTGATTCTGGAAAACAATGTTACATCCACATGAAAACACTAACAATTAAAAAACAGTAAGCATGTAAGGACAGATGTGTGGCCAGCATGGGTTACTAGACATAGCTTATAAGAAAAGTTACACATAAGTTATGTCTTTTCCTATAAGCTAGGTCTAGTGATAGAGCTTCTTTAGTTTGCGAACAACAGTTATATTTCCTGAATTGAAATAACAGTCATGAGCATCTATCATGTGTCAGGTACAATTTCTATGCAAAGCACAAGATAGACAGGTCTATATAGAGTTCAGTGACTTTATCCTATAGTCTGACTAGTGCTCACTATAATCAAGATTACCCTTTCAATGTTACTGAGTGTAAGGAAGTTAACACATAAAGTAAAACCTAGTTCTCCCTCCAACAACTAGTAGGTAGCGTAGAAGATACAGACAATGACAAAAWATACTATGATATAATAACATTAAGATAATAAATGTAATAAATACTAATAAGAATAYTAATACATTTGTTATAATACACCTAAAAGGGCAATTAATCTTACCAAAGAAAGCCAGGTAGGCATAAGACTACAAATACTGTACACAATATGTTAAGAAAGATAAATGACTGATGGGGGAGAGGCCTGACAGAGATGGTGGTCCTAAAGAAAAGGAAAACCAAACATGCTGCAAGGAACTCAGTAAGAGTTTGCTTAATTCTCTCTACTCCCTGTGAAGAACAGAGTGCCTCCAACTGACCCATGATAGCCCTTTATAAACAGCTCAGAAAGGGAACTTGAAAGAAGCCACCTGCTTAAGATTTTTCACACAACCCATCAGTGGCACAGATGGAATCTCGAACCTGTGATGGCAAAGCCCATGCCATTCCTGCTACTCCAGTTGCCCTGATGGCATCCTGGAGGAGCATGAACTTTGTTCTGAAGGAAACAGAGCTTTAAAGGTTTTAAAGACGAGGTCTAGCACTGTCAAGCCCATATTTTAGAAACACAACTTGTGACTGCTCCGTATGAGAAGGTTTGAAATTGACAGGGGGCTAGTTAGAGATTTTCTGTAAAAACTCAGGCAAGAAAAGAGTTTAGACTGGTATTATGTACAAATAAGAGAAACAGAAAAAAGGGGAAGAATGAGTGTGCTACTGAGGACTCTGGATTACATGCACTTGGAGCTCCGTCCCATTGAGGGGAAAGGGAAAGACTCCCAGCTTGGAAGACTGAATACATGGAAAGCCAGTAATTAAAGTAAGGACAGCAGGAGGAGGGGACAATGGGGGAGAGAAAGGAGACTCAAAGGAAGGAGAGTTTCAGAACATGAGGAGTTTTCTTTGAGTCTAGAAGTCACTAGGAAATAAGACTCTGACAGATCAGGAAAGTAGTGCACCCTGGAAACGGAGGGCTGGAAAACAAACAGGCTGAAGTCCTGGCAGTGGGTGAAACAGTCCAAAGAAGCCTCAGGGAGTGAGCTGGAGAAGAGCCACAGATGGTAACTAGGAGCAGGTGGTTGGTTTCACAAACTGAAGAGAGTTGTTAAAAAGCATTTAAAGTGCTACTAAAAGGCCAAACAGGATGACCAATGGCTTCAGAAATCAGGTGGTTTCTTGGGACTTTATAAGTTTTAATAGCAGTGAGATTAAGAAAGAAGTAAGTAGGGCTGGGGATGTGGCTCAAGCGGTAGCGCGCTTGTCTGGCATGCGTGCGACCCGGGTTCGATCCTCAAGCACCACATACCAACAAAGATGTTGTGTCCGCCGAGAACTAAAAAAATAAATATTAAAAACTCAAAAAAAAAAAAAAAAGAAGTAAGTAGAAAGTGAAGAACTGTAGAGAGTGCAGATGGATTTGGCATTGATGGGAAAAGAAAAAGATGTTATAATGCAAATGTAAGGCACGTTGACTTAAAGAGTAGTTTCCTCTCTTGAATTTTTGAAGCTTTGCCATTACCAATAAAAGATATTTTTACAAAATCCAAAGTTTATTTATTAATGATTTACTTTTCATTACTTTATATAATGTTCTGTGACTTGAAAGAGAARAATTAGCATTCACACTGTTTTTCAAAGGGGATACTATCATTTTTTAATATATTCACAGTTGGAACTCTCAGTACAGATTTAAATAGTTCTCTCTCAAGAGTAAAGAAAATTCCCACCAACTTTAAAATTGAATCAGACTTTTCATAATAAACTAAATGAATATGAAGGTTCTACTGTCACCCAACTGCATGTGTAGTAGAAAAAAAAAATGTCCTCAGACAAGGGGAAAATGTAAGAGAATTAATAACTGTGTTGTTCTTCATCCCCAAGACACACACACACACACACACACACACACACACACACACACACGACACACATATGTCCTTCCAAAATTCAGTAGGCTTCACAGAAAAACAAAAAGAATTGGCCTGGGTGAGAAACACCTGGGGAGAACGGCAGACTCAGCTTGGTTGGCTCTTTCCTGAGTTAACCTGGACACCATCCCGAGAGGACTCTGGGTTCACAGGGGCAGAACAACAAACTTCTCAGACTGATTCCAACACAACCCGTGGCACTCAACAARAACTACATGATCATCATCACACAGAACTCAGTCCATCTCCTCTTAAATATTATTCAGAACTAAACATCATTAAAACAGCTATAGGTCAATATTCATGGATATTCATGCCAACAATTATGTAAATCCCATGAGGGGAAACTACACTGTAAAAACCAACAATATAAGTGTGAAAGCCACTGGAACACTAATTACATTTGACAATAGGGATCCAAAGTGGATTTGAATCCAGATATGTGCAGTGGCCTGATCATTCTCAAACTCGATATTTAAAAGTAAAACAAGACACAGAATTTATACATCCAGTATCTGTCTTTCAAACCATCTCATCTTTCAAATCCAGTCTCCTATACTTAATTAAGTGATGCTTTAAGACAACTTATATGTGCTATCAACTCTACTCCTAGCAACTAGTAACTGTATACAGTAAAACACAGTTTTCATTTTTGAAAAATCCACATAATGTGGAAGCCTCTACACACTGAGTCAGGTTGGTCACTGCAGGCTGGGCACAAATTGTGATCTATGTACTTACTTTGTTTTATCTTTGGTGAAAGTATTCAAAGAATATCAGCCTAAAGAGATTTCTTTAGAAACTTAACTTTCTACAAATTTGTTTCCTAATCTAAATAAATTTTCTACTTTTGGGTTTATTTAATGTATAAAATTACAAAGATAAAAAATTATAAAAATACAAAACAAATTCCATCTTCAGAATTTGAATAGCAAATTCATTAAAAATTCTCTAAAACACAGAATGTCAGAGTTCAAAAGAAGAGTTAATATAAAACTGTTTCAAGAACATGGTGAATAGATACATATACTCTGGATTTACTTTTACATATAAAATTAATTTTACTATATTTAAAGTTTTAAAATATTCACTCAGTGACTTTCATGAACAATAATGCTTTCCGTAGGATTTAAGAGTTCTAAATTAAGCCAATCTCTAAGAACTACTTACAATCCAGAAGGCAAATTACTGGCCACAGTGATACCAAATGAATACTGCATAGCTTCAACAAGGAGAAAGTCAAACAAGGCTGACAAAATCCAGCAACCTAGCAAAAAGGACTAAAAAATAAAACAGGAAAGAACATTAGAGAAGGTACCTAAAAATAAATTAACATTTATTTAGTTAGAATCAGCTCTAACAGATTAATATACATATGTATGTATATTTTAAAAATATTCTTACTACAACAAACTTTACATATATATGTAATAATATAATCAGAATATACTGATTAATACATGTATATATTATATTCTTTAAATATTTTTTATTACAGCAGACTTTTTAAAACTGGACAGTAAAACCATATTGTTCAAATGCATTAACTTCCCTATTTCTAAATATGTTGAAAAATGATATTTAGAGCAAGACATATTTTTAATAGAGAACACAAAAACCATTAAGAATAGAAGTGACGATGCTGGGCACAGTGGCACATGCCTATCTCAGCAACTTGGGAACCTAAGGCAGGAGAATCATAAGCTCAAGACTTCAGCACCTGAATGAGTACCTGAGTAATTTAGCAAAAACTTGTCTCAAAAAATTAATAAAAAGGCTGCTCAGGAGGCTGAGGCAGGAGGACTGCAGTTCAAAGTCAGTCTCAGCAACTTAGTGAGGCCCTAAGCAACTTAGCAAGACCCTGTCTCAAAACAAAATATTTTTTAAAAAGGGCTAAGGATGTGGCTCTGGGGTTGAGTGCCCCTGGGTTCAATCTCTGGTACCAAAAATTTTAAAAATAAAAATAAATTAAGCCAGGCACTGTGGCACATGCCTGTAATCCCAGTGGCTGAGAAGGCTAAGGCAGGAGGATTTCAAGATCAAAGCCAGCCTCAGCAATTTAGCAAGGCCCTAAGTAACTCAGTGAGACCCTCTCTCTAAATAAAACACAAAATAGGGCTGGAGATATTGTTCAGTGGTCAAGTGCCGCTGAGTTTACTCTCCAGTACCCCAAAAAATAAATGAATAAATAAATACAAATTTTAAAAGGGCAATAATAAAAATTTAAAAAGGGCTAGGGATTTGGCTCAGTGGTAAAGGGCCCCTCCAGTATCAAATAAATAAATAAATTTTAAAAAAGAATACAAGTGATTAAAATTTTATTAAAGCAAAATCCTAGTTAAAATTATTACCTGCTCACACCTAATATTGTCTATTATCATTACTATCATCATCATTTTATTATGCTATTGTCTTAAATTTACATTTTTTCTTTGGTTAATGTCTGTGCCCCAAATCAGATACAGGATCATGTACTTAAAAAGACAATTGTAAATAATAAACCAAGTTTAACAAAATAAAACCTATTTAAAACAAGGGAAAAAAGAAAACAAAATGTTTTTCTAGAACCTAAGTAGCAAAGGCAAAATGCATAAAACTTACTGCAAATTTTCTGCTTCCATATCTTCTTTCAAATATCCTAAAATTATAAATAAGCAGACTACTGCAGAAAGTATCTTTTAAATCAAGGCAAATTACTCTTCCACATATCAACCTCCAAATCTAGATAGGGATTTAAAAAAAGAACAATGAATAAAAGTAAAATTTATCTGGGTCTCTGGCTTAGCAAATTTATTATTTACTTTACAGTGCTCGTTTGTATACACTACTTTAAGCAAAATCATGATGCATTACAAAAGAAAAAGTAAGTGTGTGTAACTTTAATAAATGAGTTCAATTCTGTGATACTCAAAATTCCAACAGCACAAAGGGTACTTAAGGGGAATTTTTTTTTGTTTGCTTACTAATAAGAAAATGTATTTGAATTAAGACAACAGAAGACTTCCTGTAATAAAATTTAGGACTGTGTTTAAATAAGATTTTTAAAAATTATATATATGAGCTGAAATGAAAGGCTAACTAATGTTCATTTTAAGCTACTAAATAAAATAAAGTGGCAGATTACAATTTAGGTATAAACTTGAAATATAAATTTCTGAGCTTAATTTTGCCAACCCAACTACTTCATAGCAACTATTTACAAAGAAATTTGTCAGAACTGCTAAATATTAGTAGGTTTGGAAATACCAGTTTTTTAAAATCAACTTCTGGTTGGGTGAAAAACATTTAAGGAAATATATTTAAAAAGAGCTACACAAATATCTATTTTGAATATTAAACATTTTCCAGATTTTTAAAGATAATCCTAATGACATTTGAAAACATTCTGATCTTTTTTTCCCCTTCACAATTACTTTTCAAGATAGGTAAAACAAATTTACCCTATCTTTTCTTTGAATTTTTATTGTGGTAAAATAGACATAAAATTTACCGTTGTAAAGTGTATAATTCAATGGAGTTAAGAACATTCATAATATTGTACAACAATCACCATTATCCATTTCCAGAATGCTTTCAATATCCCAGACAGAAATGCAGCATCTATTAAACATTAATCCCCTGTTCTCCCACCATCACCCCCTGATAACTTCTGTTGCACTTTCTGTCTACAAATTTGCCTATTTTGGATACCTCATTTAATTGTAATCTTACAGTATTTGTCCTTTTGTGTCTGACTTAATTGCTTCATTTTGCATAATGTCTTCAAGGTTTATGTTAAAACATGAATTAGAATCTCATTCTTTTTTATTGCTGAATAAAATTCCATTCTCTGTACATACCACATCTTCCTTATTCATTTTTCTGTTGATGGCATTGGCTTGTTTCCACCTTGGCTACTGTGAATAAGGCTGCCATAAACATTGGTAATATTATCCCTATTTTAAGATCAAGAAGAAGAGGCACAGAGGAGGTATTTTACTTTCTAAAGCCATATAACGTCTTCTCTTGCCAACTGAAATAACAACAACACAATGAGAAAACTAACTACATCAACTGTCAGAACAGTTCGCCTCTGTCTCTTCTCCAAGCAAGACACCAGGCATCTCTGTCAACAGTGTACTCCAAAATCTTAGGGCACTGAACTAGCTCATGGAAGTCCCTGAGAGTTCATTTCACCAGGTGTAAGTCTACATCTGAGTTCAAGGAGATAAGTCACCACGAGGAGGCAGGAATGACCACCACAGGCACAAACACATCACAAAAGGCATTTCCTAACTCATTCTTTTCTCCCTCCGAAACTTCATGATTGCACTAGAATCACTGAAACTTTAGGCCAGCATACACTACCACCCATAAGATCAAATCAGACAGTGTTATACAGAGGGCTTCAGAAACTGTCAAGTACTTTACAGATGTAAAATAATGATGACATCATCTCTGCCAAACAGCAAATTCAAAGACCATGACAGAAACTCCAATCCTCTCTCCCCACATTTAACACTGTAGAGAAAGTAGTGTACTCAAGTCCTGAGAGCCATGAGGAGAATCTAGGGATTAAAGAAATTAAAGACCTAAAGGAAAACAAAAGAGTATCCTCAGCCTCAAATGCCAAAATCTGGGAGATTCAGAACCTACAAATAAAGCCTTTTATCAACTGCCCCTCAGGACTCCTCCTATCCAAGCCTGTGTAGTCTCCAGCACCTCCTGCTGCACGGTTCTCCTGAGGGTCTGAAGTCCGTATGGCTTCCTGAGGCAAAAGCCCCTTCTCTCTCTACTACTAATTCATAAGTCAATCATTCTTCCAGACCAAACTGAAAATACAATGAATTTTATAATTCAAAAAAATACTTTTTCATTATAATCTGCTTTGCTTGAGAGTATCAATAAATATAACTAGAAAATGAACCAAGTATTAACCAAAGGAAGCAGGTTATACAGCACAATGTGTACCAACACTCCAACTCAGACAAGAAATGGACGCCAACATTTTCAATGAGCTCAGTACATAAATCTTGATAGTCACAGAGTCCTGCTCTTCTAGAAAACAAAAACTCACAACAATTTCCCTATTTGGTTTAACTAAAATCATAAAAATAATCATGAATTCGCAATGTGCTGCAGCTGAAACACATCTAATCAAATATTCAAACTCAAGCAAATTTTGGAAAATGTTGAATATCCTGACATATACACAAATATGTGTGTGTGTGTATAATATAAACATTGTTTTAAAAATACCCTTAAAATTATAAATTGCCTTCCCACAAGTGAAAAGTTTCATTGAAACAAATGTGTCCTGCAAAAGGAAATAATGCAACTTTTTCATTATAATCTGCTTTGCTTGAGAGTATCAATAAATATAACTGGAAAATGAACTTATTAATGGAATATTAATAATAAATAATATTTCTTACAAATTTGGGGGCTTTAAAGTACTAATAAATAGAAAGAAAAGACAAACACGGAAGGGAAAAAAAAAAAAACCCTTCTCTCAGCCAGAGGCTAGAGGGCGATGAACAGCACTCACCTGGAAGTCGTTCTTGACTGCCTGGAGGTCATACACAAAGAACTTCTGACAGTGAGGCAGTAGGAGGGCCAGCAGAAGGGACAGGGCACTGGGGACCAGCAAAAGACTCTTAGACAGAGGTGCCTTGTCTGGGGAAAAAGAAATCACATTCAGGATGATTGCTTCTAAGATTTTAAAAACCATGTAGATCTAGAGCAAGAGAAGTCAATCTTCTGAATCAGAATGAAGACAAGTCCAAAAACTTTGATATTTAGTTCTTATTAAAACATCCACCTGCAGAAGGAAGTGACTAAAGGCCACTGGAAAACAAGAAGAATTCACTGGAGGGGCTTCACTCTCAGTTGGCTTTTATCTGAGACTGAAACAAGTCAACAGCCAGCTACCTCCACAGAACACTTTCAGAAATCTGGTACTGAAGTGAAAAGAAATGCACTGTTTCCACCAGGTCAATCAGGAGACTCACATACAAAGACATTTGTTTTCAAAAAAGTAGAAAGAGGTTACAGTGTTAACACTGCTGATTATARTGGCTTCCTGAGTTTTGCACTGTGAATACAAGACTCAAGCTGATTTTCTAAGAGAGCCTGTGTCACTTTTCCTTATCCTAAAAGCAGTCTGAGTTTGTGATAATTTGTTATAACAACAATGGGAGACTAAAACAGTGACTGTGAATTTAAAAGGGAGAGAGAGACTAAGATACCCCAGAAGAAATAATGCTAGGGAAAAAAAAAAAATCTTCCTATTAAAGACTCTTAAGAGATATTTCATGACACTAAAAACAGATTAAAATACTAGAAACTCAGCCAAATCAAAAGGTAATGGCAATTCACAAGATATAAATAAATAAATCATAGATTATGCAAGAAGGCAGCCAACTCTGTTCAAACTACTCGATATATTTCTTACAAAGAAAATACTTATTCTCAATGTCAAATATTTTTAACAAGTTACAAGGCACTAGATATTAGTTTTACTATTTCTCATTTCTCTATATRTTCTAAGAAATTTTTAAAGTTTAAAAAGACATTATTTCAATAATTTTTTTAAAGGTCATGAAACTATCTAAATTTTTCCCACTATTATTAAAATAGCTTTGCCTGGTTTCAGCCTATGGTCATTTTCATGGTCCCATACTACCCCCTGGGCGAGAACTGAGTGCATGCATGCATATGGATCTTCTTCCTAAAACATCACTTCAACATCGTCACTTTTCTGCTAGCTCCAAGACAGGATGACAAGCCCCTGAACTTATTCCCCAGACTTCACATTCTGGGCCCACCTGCATGACCTCTATTGGTGGGTCTGTGGAACCTTTACTGGAACCAAACTACCCATCTCACTACCTCCTGAACACAAGAGGTTTCTGTTTCAGTGCTTTTGGAAAATTTTCTCTGGATTTAACATCTCAAATACTATCCACACCTTCCCAGCACAAATGCTCCCTTACATGCAGCCTTCAGATTACAGCTACGTCTCTACTTTCCTCCACCTTCCTCCACTGGCTGGTGAACCATTACAGCCTAAAGTACTTTTGCATTCTGCCTTCCCACTTGGTTCCATGTAGTTTGCCTCCCCAACTGCTTTCAAGAGTCCTGAAGGGAGACCACACACCTTCCCCTTCTCCCATCTGCCAGAAGAACCACACCTTCCCCTTCTCCCATCCCTGGCCCAGAAGAAATGCATATCACCCACAGGTGAGACCACAGAAGTATCACTCATGGGGACACTCTCAGATTCTGTCAGCACACTTTAAACTTATTCATAAGAAATTCCCTGGGGGTGGATTTACAGTTACAGTTGACACTGTGTGGTTCCTGCTTGTTTCAGAATAGCCCAACTGTTTCCTCTCTGGCAAGGTCCTGCACACTTCTAAACTGGAGCTACGAGAAAGGGGCTGCACTTTCTCTTCATTAAGGCACCATGGGTCTAAAATTTCACAAGGCATACAGGAGGGCACCATGGCCAAGTGCATGACAACCAAAACTGTACTGTGTACAACGGGAGCCTCAGTTTCCTCACCTGCCAAAAGAGAACCTGCCTCAAAATAGCCACAAGAGAAAATGAAAGAATAAATAAATAGTGGTCAAGTGGCTCCCACCAACCACGCCACAGCAGCACCCCAGGAGAGCAGGTTGCCCTCCCTGGGGAGGCTCCTCCTCATTCTGACAGAGAGGGAGCAGGGCTGCTGCAGGCGCACCTGGAGGGGTCAGCAAGATCATACTTCCTTCTTCCACTTGGGCTCCATGGTCATTCCTGTCTCCTCCTTGCCACTCCTGAGTGACTCAACATGCCTGGACAAAGTCACCGCTGAACCAAAAGCCTTCCCTGCAAACTCATGATGGAGTCTCACACTCCCAGGCCACTCTACTGCTTCTCTCTAGGAAGTCTGGTCCCAGCTTATCTCGTGCCACTGGTGAATCACACATTCTCTTCCCCTCTGCCAGCACTCAAGATGGCTCAAGATGGTAGCACCACACGGCTTTTCCTCGCTGGGATAACAGCCTGATCCCAGAGCTAAAAACCATGTAGGGGAGACCCTCCCCCAACCCCATCCCTGGTGTCCACAGTGGAAAGGTGGCATTGGTGAGGAGCAAACCTTGTTCTTGACACTCTGGAGTTGTTTGTTACTGTAGCATAACTTAGCCCCTCCTGCTTTCAGGGTAAGAGTGCTAGAGGGGAACAGGGGCATCTTTTCAGGTAGGGCAGTTAGGGGAAAGCCTTCTGATAAGCTGAGACTTGAGCTGAGCCCTCAGAAGTGGGCTTTGCAGACAGCTGGGGGAACACCATTCCCAGCAAAGGGAAAAGCAAGTCCAAATTCTGAGAGGAAGGAACATACTCAATATGCAGCAAGGCCACCAGTTGGCTGAGAGCAGGATGAGTTCAAAGAAGTGTGGGAGCAAAGAATGTAGCGCCCAGGAGGCTGTCACAGGGTTGTTAGCTTTTCCTCTAAGGATGATGGGATGTTACATTGTTTTGTCCCCTCCCTCCCTCCCTCCCTTCCTTCCTTCATTCCTTCCTTCCTTTTTTTCTTCTCTCCCTGCCCCCCACCCCAGTACTATGGACTGAACCCAGGGCCTCATGCATACTAAGCTAGCACTCCACCAGTGAGCTCTGCCTCCAGTCCACGATGCTTTAAGTAGAAGAATTTAAGTACAGGCATAACACCATCAGAAAATAATGTTGCATGATCACTTCAGTTGCTAAATTGAGAAGAGATTACAGGAAGGAAGAGTAGAAAAAAGGAAGACCAGTCAGTAGGCTGTTCTGATAATATAAGTAGGAGATAACTGTAGATGCATCTCGGGATGGAGATGCACAAAGATGTCAGAATTAGGGTGTGTTTTGAAGGTACAGCAGACAGGATTTGCTGAAAATTAGGAAAAAGTAGAGAAATTATGAGTCACACCAATGAGCAACTTGCCAAGTATAGAGATGGTCCCTTCTGGGTCATTGTGATGTTGTTTGCACCACACCTGTAAATCTGGGCCCATCTTGCAAAATGCTCCCATATCCACCTGCCCAGGCTCTACCAGTGCCATTCAATGAACCAGTCTGCAAACCATCACSAGCCCACAAGCAGGCAAGGAGTTTGTGCCAGAAAATCTATCAACACACTGCCTCTATCCGGGATAAAATCCTGCTATGAAAAAAATGTCATCAGAGCTAAACAGGTGCTGAGCTCAAATGTCACCTTATTTGTGTCCTCCCTGTGTGTCCTGACTTAACAGAAGGCTTAAGAATAACACCAACTTAATTCAAGCTGACTATAAGATACACCATAAAATTTGGTTACACTAAAAAGGAAACACAACCAAGTATATTTTAAAGATGTCATCAATTATAAGGCACATCCCAATTTACATCAGAATGTAAAAATCCTGCATTTAAGAATCAGAGAAATGTGTCCCTTTGCTTACTGTCCATCTTCCCAACCTTCAGTACCACTGGGACGTAAGCTTCTAGAAGGCAGCAGCTTAGTGTGGTGTGTTCACTGCCTCAGCAGCCCTCTGACCTTGACAGGACCCAGCTACTAAAGCCCATCAATGTGTGTTTACCAAGTGGTAGGCAAGTGACTGTAGGGCTGCCCAGGAACTTACAGGTGGGAGCAGCTGTGGGAAGCCATTCCAAATGCATGCAGCTTTAAGTCCTGATGCACCACGGGCATCTGAAGATCACTGTATTTCTGGCACAGTRGTGCCATGACTAAGTGACTCAAGCTTTTCCTTGCTTGGATAACAAGGTGTGGCCCTAGGAGTAGGTGGCACCCAGAGCAGTTGAGCTACACTCACCTGTTCCTTTGTAATCCTATCCCTTGCCTCATTTGAAAGTCTTCTCCTCAATAAAAGGGTTCAGCACGTGTGCTCCTCTATCTCTTTCCATGGACCCCTAAGGTCAGAGGAGCCATCACAGAATCCAAAGAAAAAGGTATTTCTCTGTCTCTGTGATTATTTCATGCCAACCAGTTCACCTGGAGTGACCTGAGTGTTTAGTMGGGAACGTGATAAACAGCTAGTGTCCATTGACAGAGGGATGGATAAACAGATAATAGGCTGCACTCACACATACAGTAGAAATCAAATCAGCCTTAAAAAGCAAGGTAATCCTGACCCACACCACATGTGGATGAGCCTTGAGGACACCGTGTTCAGTGAAATAAACCTGTCACAGAAAGGCAAATATGACACGACTCCATTTATATGAGGTGCCTGCAGTGGTGAAATTCATAAAAACAAAGTAGAACTGTGGCTGTCCAAAGCAGCCAGGAACAAGGAATGAGGGAGTTATCACTTTATGTACAGAGTTACAGTTCTGTAAGTTGAAAAGAGTAGAGACTGCACAAAAGGACTGTACTTACTACTGAACTGTATGCTTCAAAATGGTTTATTATGTATATTTTGCCACAATTAAAAGTTAAAACTAGCTAGGTGTGGTGGTGCACACCTGTAGGCTGGAGAGGCTGAAACAGGAGCATCACAAGTGCAAAGTCAGCTTAAGCAACTTGGCAAAAACCTCGTTCAAAAATAAAACAAGATCCAAAAGGGCTGCAGATGTAGCTCAGTTGTAGGGCACCCATCTAACGTGCTCAAGGGCCTGGGTTCAACCCCAATACTGTAAGAAAAAAAAAAAC